TAATGAACAGAAATTAATTTTGAAAAAAGCGCCCAGAAAAAATTCCCACATGAAGACCACATTTTTTGAGAGAAGCACAATTAATTTGTTATCGTAGTTAATTTTGAAAAATCTCATTATACCAAAAATCTCAGAGACCAAACTGTGAATAACTTGCCTGGACAAAAACATTTTGCTATAGTGAGATTCATTTTAACGAAATTGTACTGTATTACATCATTCTGAGAGGTACAGGGCCAGAAAAGCAGTACAGCATATCAAATTTCGGCAAGTCATCTGATTTTTAAAAAATTCCGATCATTGACGTAGAAAATCTCATTATCACAACTTAACAAGTTGTCCTGAAGTCCCCAAATCTTTGTTATACTGAGATGTTACTCTAATTGCAATGGACTTTTCGATGCTGTGTCACTTCCGGAAAAAGATCAAAGAAAAATAGCGCAATTTCGGAATTGGATAAAAAAAACTTCGACGCACAATTTTATAAATTCTTGTTTTTTTATTGATGAATAATGGTCATTTTTCATTCATGAATTTCCGTTTTTAAAGCTTTCAATACTGCTGCTTTTCTCTTCATTAGCGTATTTTTTTATTTTGCTTCGTTTTATAAGAGTTTATCTTTTTTTGCAACTTTTGATTCTTCGAGCTTGTTCGGTGAAGACCTTAGATCAGGATCCTGATGTGTAAAACTTGGGGTTCATAAACTCAAGCAGTTCTAAAATCATGATACGAACAGAAAAAATTGAGTAATTAGGCGTTTCATTTCTTGAGATTTTTTTATCGTGGATGCTTTTTGAATTCAGTCATACAGTTATTTGCATATGAATGATTTTGTCCTGACAGCGATATACTGCATACGAAAAACGAGGCGAATCACCGTCATGAAACCTCACGAAGAGTTGCACGCGCAAATCCTCACCATGAACAAAAATAGAAAAATAAATCGCGCAATCATTTCGAATCTCCGTTGCATAAATTTCCTCTTACTCTCCGAATTTTGAGCTTATTTCCTGTCACGTGAATAATGCAAATATCCTCGGAGAAGCCCGGATTTATGCGCAATTTCATCCCCGACTCTCGGCTGCTTGGTGAACACATACATAATACGAAGCTACGTGAATCTCGCTCTCATACATACACGGAAAGCCCATATACAAGAAACCCGAGAGAAAAAATAAGTTTCATATTTCCGACAGAACGTGGAGTCAAACTCAAGTGAACCACGGTATCTTTCCAGAGGCGTCTTTGAAATTACACCCAAACACCTGTTGGCTTTTTTTTTTCAGGGACAAAAAAAGACAAGATGTTTCAGAAGAAACTCATGCGAGATGAATTGCGGATTCTATAAAAAGGGTGCATCTTGAGCTTGACAGAATTGATATGCAATCATAAAAAGATGGGTTTTCTTTCGCATGACATCGCCTTATAGAAAACCGTTCCCGAGAGTTCTATTTTTGTCTGAGAAGAAGAAGAGTTTTCCGATGTGTGTATTCTCAGTCGCTTGGATGAAAGGAAATTATGTAAATTCGCGTAAAATTCAACATCGATGAGGTTTTTGTTTTAAAAATGGCGAGGAAAATTGTTGTTGGTATAAAGCGAGCTCGGGTTCTAATTATAGAACATTTGGATTAACTTACAGAATTCTTGTTCGAGTCTTGTTTCCAAATTTCCCATTCTCACTGAAGTCAAATTTACAAAAAAAAATTTCATCACAGAAAGCCAACTAAAAGTAAGGCCCGAAAGACCAAAATAGGAACCTATTCGGCAGGACATGTGCATTTTAATTAGCCTAATCTGCCAAGAAGTTAGCCTCATCATGTTGAAAAGTCGGTAAAATCCATGCCAATTTTTGGCCACATATGTTCATCACTTTTTAGTCAACAAGAAATTGTTCAAGCAATATTTTCGCTGAAAAGGTCTTTCGTTGAGCTGCGACAGACTATTAAATTAAACATCAACCGGAAAGAACAATTTTCCAATGAACTGATTGAAACTTTGAAGATACTATACAAGAACCTGACATGCACATGACCATCATACATGTATGGTTGAAGAATAACCATAATATTCAGCTTTTCCAGATAATCATGAAAGATCCTAGAAAAATTCAATATTCACAACAGTGTTTTCATATCAAGGCAGTTTATAAAATCTCATTATAAAAGCTCACTTTTCTGTTGAAATGAGATCATGGCTTAGTACAGTACTGTACATTATACAGTACTAGATTTCCACATGGGGGTGGGGCACTTTATGGTCCTGAAGTATACCAAGTATTATTTTCATCTGCTTCAATATTCAAACCATCCCAACATTCCAGTCTCATTCCGCAGTCTGTTTACTATATAATTCAATGTTTCTTTAACCCTTGTGCGGCAAAGCTGGGATATTTTTGCAAAATTGTGTCCCCATGAGGGCTGAAAATTTTAAAAATCTGATATTTGAACAAAGGCCTGAGTCTAGAAAAAGTACAATATTTTTTAAAAATTCTACATACAATTTTAGCCCAAAATTTTTTAAAAATCCCCCCCCCCCCCTGGTTGGCATTTTTTCATGATGCACTCCCTGCATAGGATTAACATTGGGGATTTCCTGAAACAATGGGGTTTTCTACACCCAGAAGTTTCCTGACTTAGGCCTTGGCAACCTAAGACATTTCAGTGACCTTCAGTCAAACTAAAATGCCCCTCCCCCAAAAATCCCAAATTTGCTGCAAGATGGCCAGGAACCCTCTGCCATCCAAGGGTCAATGCACCCTGTAACCATTCAGCTGACTGAAAAAAATTGGACCTCCTATAAATTCAGATTTCCTCAAGCCAAATCTTTGTCAAGTTGCTTTATCCATGACAAAAATGGATATAGACATCCTTAGCTCAAAACATCTATATGACCCACATTTTAGAGCCATTTGGACCATACTGTGATTCTAAGGACCCAGAAAAGAAAAGAGCAATACTGATGTACATTAGTTTGATGCTTTTCAAACTGAAATAAGATTCCTCTTGGGCAAATTAACCCATGTCTCCAAGTTCAACATCCTGTATTACACATGTACCAAGCAATGTAAGTCTCAGAAGATCACAAATTGTACCCTTTTTATTTGTATAACTCTTCAAATAAAAACTATTTTCATTTGTAAGAGTTACAAGTAAAAAATGCTGGTTACCCAGCATTTGCTGATTTTCCAGCTATAGTGCATGGAAAAATCCCTCACAAGCCAAACAGTTTCGTAGGTCCCTCATCTGAGTTCGACTTTCAAAGGCTTGACTGCATGATGTATATATCATAAGCAGCAGCCCACTTCAAAGCTTCAACTTGACAAATAATTTGAATAAGCTTACTAACCTTTGCTGCCTTTTGTCGGTTGACTCTGTTGTCGATTTCTTCAGCCGCCAAAACACTCAATGCACCATCAATCACTCAACGTTCTCTTCCCATCATATTGAGCATATAGGGACAACTTTATCTGACACATGCAGTATATAAGATGAATATTTCTTTCCTTCCATATTGTAGCATATCATCAACACTGCTTGACCATGCAGCGCTGCATGATGCAACAAGTGATTCATACACCATTCGCGTATAACAATAATACAATACTGTACGTACACGCTGACACATTTTCGTTATTCATACTTGCGTGGATTATAATTTTTGAAACGATGCGCGGATTTCATCAAAAGACGTCCCACTAAAAACGTTATCCTTGACCAGCTTAAATGTACCTATACAAATGAGGGATATGCCAATAATGCTTTACTGTTCATACCCATCGATATGAGCCGCGTTTATACGACGTGCGAGAATTTACTGCATAGGCCGCATTAAAACGATCTGATGTCGGCACTCATAAATGCCTGGAGCATAAAAGCTGATGAATTTTCGATTGCAAACATTCTGGAGAGCAATTTTTTGAATAAACGCAATTCATCATCAGTTCTGTACATCAAAATAATGACATCAAAAGGGATTTATTTCTACATTTATGATTTATCCACGGTGAACGTACTCGTATACAGTATAACGATCACCAAAGAAAATATGATGGATTTTTTTTTACTAAGGAGAGATAAATGTGCCATTGCTGGATCACATGCATCAGTTCATTCAGTATAGTATTTCCTATATATAACCAGGCAGAATCATAATTTAAAAAAAAAAATGAGTGGCCTGCTGTTATTTACACGCAATTTCAGAAAACCCAGCACTATACCAGGAATAATGGGTTTCATTTCCCAGCATTTACCAATACTGTATCACGTAATCATAGCATGGCGTTCACATGCACTTCCCAAGAAAAAAAGTGGTGAACTTGAGACGTTATTCTTCTTCAGTCGTTGTAAAAACATTTAACAAACGCTAATATCCAGCACTTCAATGTAAATTTTGAAACAGCTTCGCTGCTTCAGCAACTCCACTCGTTAGAAACTGACGTCTTATAACTGACGGTGTATAAGGAGTTGACTGCATTTTACCTCGGAAACTGCGGAGTCTTCGCGGTTGAACTATGAATTTATCATTCAAAATTGCCTATATTCAGCTAATTTTTCGAGTGCCCACAAGAATAAACAGCTCACAGACACGGCCTACAGTCGCGAAACTATAAATACTCGAGAACAGAGTTCATGACGAGAACGAAATCCTCTAATTGTGGGTGCACGAACCGCCGGCTAGACGCCAACAGGCGCGTCTACGAAAAAACGGAGCGAAGCCCTGGCTTGTCTTGTTGCGTTGCCTTCATTTGCAGTCATCCACGTGCTCCTTTTTTCCCGCGCGCGATGCAGCAGAGGAAGCGAGTGTGTCGGGTGGGTTTCATGCAACGCATCCCCGCAGCATCACCTAACGCGTATGTAAGTATGTATGATCCTCGCGAAGTCTCTCGTTCTTTATTCATCGTGACGACTTGACGCATACCCTCCCACCATAATACTGTATGTGGTTTCCGTATCCCTCGCATTCTATTCACTCTCTTTCGTCTTAAACCGCGTTACGTACGATTACGCTGCTGCATCGGATGTGAGAAGTAGCAGTGACACCTACTTGAAAAACTAGAAAAAAGAGGGAAGTCTAAATCGCCTCACCACAAAGTATTTGTGTCTGAAGATATGTTACAATCCGAACTCAACCATCTCATCCGCTTCGAATTTCGAGAGGGGGGATTCTTCGCGATTGGAAGTGAAATTAGGACGAGGGTGAGCTTCCTGTCGTGGAATTAGACCTGGATGATCGTGGGGTAACATGCATAGTACACGAATCCCGAATTACTTTTCAGACGCCTTTTACGAGCTAGTTCATTTTGCAATGTGCGAGTGACTTACAAGAAATTTTGGATGATTCCTGGACTGCGACTGGTGCTTGTACTCAGTCGCCTGGTAATCCACAGTGACGACATTCGTGATCGTGACGAGTCGTCGGCAACATTTTCCTCGTCGACGTTGACCATCTTGTTGTATCTAGAGAGAATGTTGAACAACGTGATTTATTCTTCTGTCCGCCACAGTCTTGAGAAGTGGGTGGCGCAATAGTCGAATTAAATTATTGGATGTACGTAGCGTTATAAATGTATTGAAAGGGTATAAGGAATGGGTGAATAAGTAACTTGTAGTGGTGAATTTTAAGCAGTCAGGCGTACCAAATTCACGGTGCGATTTTGAGTGTTGATAAATTCGCGCGATCACTGAGATATGGGGATAATTCGCGGATCTGATCGCAGCGACCGAGATCAGCGCTGGTGGAATACTCCAACGTCGTAACGTGAGGGACTCGACCTGATACCGTGTTTCCACGACCATTCTCGCCAACGTCACGCTCCCTCCTCGACGACTTTCAGCGAAACTTCCCGTCATCCCTCTTCTAGTGTTCTCCCATCCTAATCACCTCTTGCACGCCTTTCCCATGCCTGCCCGAGCGAGTCTTGTTTGTTTCCCACGATGTTGCCTAGCGTCACTTCCATTCCAATCATTTGTGAAAAATTTCAGCACTCAAACAAATTTCCCTACGCCTTCAGAATTCAATTCTTACTTACGAGCTTGAATTAGGAACGACAGAAGAAAGAGACGTCTTCATCGAATTTTGGCGATGCTGAGTTCTCGAGTTCTGAAAAAATCCTCCACATGATTCCCTACGAAACTCGTCATTGAATTTTCCGTCGATGTCTTGTAGCCATCTCATACAGTATACAGTACTTTCTGTCTGTTTCCGCCGTTAAATCAAGAAAAATCGTTCGATACTTTGCTGTGGTTCATTCCAATGAAGCAACATCTACATATCTGACCATTTTTTTCAATTCAGAAGTTTCCGCCTGTATTGATGATAACTATCGTTGTAGTTATTCCCAGAAGTCGTTATCTCAATTGGCCGCAATATTATATTTGTGGGATATTCCAGAGCGAGTCAATGGATCGAGTACCCTGCAATCATGATGGGGAATTCACGCTGATTGATGAGATTCCACTGCGTTAGAAGCTCGTGCATAATGAAAAACGCAGTCATGGAATTAATCTGATCATTAATATTTTCCATGAAACAAACGATTACAACTTCGTGTTATTGTCCTGTGGATTTCATGATCGTAACTCTCTTGTAATTTGATCAACTTTTTCGTTTTCTTTTCAGATTTATAATAAGAAATTAGGCCATGAAAAAATTTCGCGTTTGGGCCATCCTGCTACTGTAATATTGAAATTAGCTTTAAGAACGGGTAATACACACTCTCCGAGCAGGAAATATCGCTTGACACAAGTAATCGTCACATGTTTAGTAGTCGCTCGTGTTCTATGCAGTATCGATTCAATTAGCGTGCCTCGCTAATTTTTCTCTCTCCCTCTCTCACCCCGTTGACATAATGATAGAAGTCTGATGGAAGCGTAGTATGCTGCGCGTTTTTCCGGAAACATGTAATGGAGTAAACCCGGGATGGTGCTTAACTGTGATAATGATGATCTCAAGAAGAGGGTACCGGCTCACGAACGATTAATCTTTGTAATGATGGGAAGTGTTTCGAAGAATTCTGCATGGTAAGTTTTATTTTTAATACTGTTCGCACGTGACCGACGTGGGCTGTAAGAACTGAAGAAGAAAGTATATTTCTTATACTTTTTTCCTGCGGTTTGTTGTCCTGCGATGTCCGCGGAAATCCGTCAACGGTACCTGACAATCATCCTCAGCTATATTCTTCCATGCGGAACTGCCGAGTGATTTAATTTGAAATGAGTGTTTGACAGGAATCCTGAATGTGTTACCTTTAGGAACGGATGCTCTATCACTGGCCTCGACTGGAGGCGTATTTTAATTACTGTATTTCATATATTGAGATCGCATTCATCTGCACAAGTTTAGATGAGGTGACCCGAGTGTCGACAATCATGGCGGCGCGCATGAACCTCGGAGTCGGTTCACCTCATCAAAACTTGTGCCGAGAAATGCTCATGCCGCCAATTGAGAAGTGTGAATCTTTTTGAATTTGCTAATCTTCCCGTGTCTTCTTCCCTAATCACATTCGCTCTTTTTAGATTTTTTTGTGTGATTCTGTGCAACTTTATTGCAAAATGGAGAGGAAGTCTGACACAATGCCGCAGCGTGGGAAGGTCGGTCAAGTTTGTCAAAAATGGATCGAGCATGAAGATGAAGCTCTTGCCCACCAACTTCAGAGTGAAGAAAGTGAGCTTCTCTGCTGACTTTAATAATTAGTAATCAATAATTAGCGTGACAAAGTGCCTCTCCGAATTTAGCTTGAAATTCAGGACGTTCAATGATTCGAAAGTTCATGACTGGAATTGTCACTTGAAACTTGGGAAGCCTGTTCCAAATCGGTCGGACACCAGATTGATTTCCGAAATGGCATGTTCCAGTGATCTAAGTTGCGAAAAATGTTCGTGTTGTTCTGCCGTTTTTTCCCCAGTTACCACGCATTATCATAGGAACAGAAGTAGAAATGCTCAAATAAGACAAGATTTGCCGCAGGCGAAGCAGGAACAAATCAAGGAGGAAGAAGAAGCTGAGCAGATGCGTGTTATGTATCGAAATATGCTCAAGAGACAGTAAGGATGCTCAATGCATTGTGAAAATGAATTTCTGAATGATTGTGTGCCAAATTTTAGAGAACAAAGGGACGCTGAATTAGCGGCAAAGTTGCAGCACCAGCACCCGCCATGTGATAGAGACAACGACGTGGGTGCCGTTGGTGGTTCCAGTGTCTTCTTCCCGCCGCCGTCACCAGTGAGGGAGAATGAGTTTAGTTTTTCTGCAAGGGACGTGAAACGAAGTCCAATTATTTACGCGAGTGACGAAGAGCTCGGTGCTCTTATCGATGATGACAGCGACATTAGCGCTCCGATCACTGCCGGTACGTATGATTACCGTGTCTCAAGAGAAGTTTGAAGTGTTGTATATGTTTGTTTTGATCAGCCGTTTCAGCTCCAAGATACGACTTCTTGAGTGAAGAAGAGGAGGAAGAAGCTCGCATACGGCAGGAATTGGAAGACGAAGAACTGGCTAAACGGTTGCAGGAAGAAGAAGTTCGCGACATGTCTCCGTCGGAAATCTTGGAGCGAGACAGAATCATCGCTTTGGAAGCGCAAGACCGCGAATATGCCCGTCTCATCTACGAGAAAGAAAAGGCCCGCATGAGACGAGCTGTGCGAGAACGTCGGGCCCGGAAAGAGGCCGAGCGAGCCAGACAAGACTCGCCCAAGGAAGAATCAGACCCCGATAGAATCGAAGTGTTGCCAGGGATGGAAGAGCGAGGCATTGACGTTGGGCACAGTCCAGAGCTTCGAAGGAGAGATGAACATTATGAAGAGGAGGAGGAGGAGGAAGAAGAAGAGGAGAGCGAATTCATTGGAACTTCTCCAATTTGTCCAAGCGTCGCTGCTAGTGTGTTGACGACACCAGCGCCACCGTATATGCCAATTCAGGGACATAGAAGAATGCAAGCTTTTGAAAAGAAAAAGAAAGACAAGGGATGCACTCACCAGTGAGCTTGAAAGTCTTCCTTCTTCGTTTCTCTGTCTGAAACATTTGCTGGTACTGTATTGCACTAGTTCTACGAAAATCTAGGTTGCCAGGGGGCTTGCCTGTAGATTCGTGTTGGAAGGCATCTTTGGCTGACATTACTTCTTATCTTGAATGACATCTTGCTGTACTCACCCTAGTGAAAAGACTGGTCTTGCTGAGGTGTTGACCCTTTTTCATAGCGCAACTTCCATTATGAACCGAACATTTGAGTTGTGCTCTACAAAATGACGACAAATTACATGCGTCGAATGCTTTAGGATATTTTGGATCGTGTGGAGACTTGTTCACCGCCGATACCTAATGCGTTGCTCGTCTATCATCAGTGGCAGCATTAGAAATGGAAGGTTTTTAGACGTCCTCGTCATATTGCGAAGTAAGATCAGCCGGGGGCTGACGTTACTATTTCTTGTGATAGACTTATGTTTTTCCACATGTGAACTTCGGGATCAAAAAGTGGGAATGAATTGATGTTTCGCATGAAAAACCCGCTCGGTCCGTACTGCAACATACGTGCTCTGAAACCTTGAAAAAGTGTCAAACGTGGGGCAGAAATATGACTTTTCCGTCCAGGGAAATTCATATTTCCGCATCTGCGTTGTTTTAAAGTTGGGGATGGGGCGAAAATATGGAGACTGTAAAGCTTGGCTAAGCTTAGGAAAATGATGATTATTTTAATTGCTTACGCGTAAATTGACTTTAGATACACCTGACGAGCATCCTGCATATTCAGAAACAGATTGGATTTTTCACGTCTATGTGAGCACCACTGTATGAGAAAAAATACTCCGAGCTGAAAAATTGACGAAATTCTTCTGATTAATACAAGTACAGTTGATTGGAATGATCTGAGTGGTACTCAGTGGGCCGCATTGCAACCAAGGGTTAGATCCTAGGTTTATATAGGGTCACGCTGGGAGTATTTCCAAATGTCTGCATTAAGAATAGGCTAGTGCAGTAGAATCTCCTTTTACCAAGTTATTGGTTGAAACAAATTTGCTTTTTGGGTACCTGATGAAAAGCAGTAATATTATCAAAATCGCTTTATAACGAATTTATTCCTATAACAAAGCTGGCGCTAATTCCGCAATGCCCCCCAACTTCAGAAAACTCTCAGAAACAGTGAGCGTTTGCGCGCTGGTAAGGAATTACACTATCCATAGAACAGATCCACAAGATGTCATTGCTCCAGCACTTTTGGGATTGTCTGTTCTTTGGAATTCTGTAAAAGGATGCTTGTGCGGCGTTAGGATGCCTCTGCGGTTTTTCATGTTAGGTTTGGTCAGGTCAATCAGGCTGTGTTGGTTAAAAATATCCTGCTCTTCGGCAATCTTACCTATCTTGAATTTTATGAACCGATAGAAACGATCCCTTTAAAGAGCAACACCCACAAAATATATAATGACATGCAATGTGCAGTGTGCAAGCATCTGCCGTACCTAGCTATATTCTGCAAGCCACCTTAGAGCAGGCGGCTCTCACTGTTTCCCAGAGTTGCCTGGATTAGGGGGGTAGTACAGAACTGGCCCCACAAAGCTTTTTCAGGTCAATAAAATGAGATTTTATTTTCAACCGAAGTTTACAATGTTTGTCTTCTCCTCATGATGTTTAGGAAGCGACATGGATTTAAATTCAAATCCATGAACTGAAGTGCACAAAAGTTATGAGTTGCGGTAATTCCCTCGAAATTTTCCATTTGAAAACTTCCTGAAAAATGAGCTTTATATGCTGAATTTTTGGAGGTTGGATGTTTTTGGCTGAAATAGGATAAATGCGCATCGTGGTGTGTGCAAGCAAATGGAGAATCATCTGGTTAAAATAAAGTCGTGTGTGCCTGCTTCTTGGAATTCAACATTCTCTTGTGTTTTGAAATTTATTCTACTGTGTTCATCGGACTATATTTTTTGAAATATGTTTGATCACTGCGATCGCACAAAAATATGGAAGAACGAAGATCTACTTTCGCCAAGGATCTTTCTTGCTTGGTTTTCTTGCCTGATTCGTTTCATGGATTTTTCCATCGCGTATCACGTTAATTGTTCCTCACGTATCATGATGGAGTGTTGCCAATTCTCAGGTTTCTCTTTTTGCGTTTAATGAAGGCACATTAGTGGCACAAGTTGATTAATTAGATCTTATTTTTTTTACCTCTTTCTTGATGACGAAGAAAATTTCCTGTGAAACTGTATGTGTTTATAGCTGAAATCAGGATCTGATTTAGCCCTTGATATGTTTTCTTGACTTAGTGGACGATGTTATTTTTGCTTCATTTAATTTAAGAAATTTTTCTCTCATTTTTCGTGGAACATTCGATGTTTCGAAATAAGCCTCTTTCACGCAAAAGAAGCACTCGTGAATTTTTTTTACTATTTTATGTCACAATCATGTGTAAACTTGCGGTGTTGTGATGCGTTTTCCCGGTGACAGTTACGTTGAAGGACTTGTGAAACTCTCGGTTTTTTATTGCTGCTAGCATTGATATTTTATTCCGCCGATCATTTCTTAGAAGAAAAAGCATTTCGTCCAAATTTTTGCGTATGGACTGAAGTGAAAATCTTGGCACGATTTCGCGCCTATGAATGCGAACTTTTCTTACGGGCACAGGAAAGACATTTTTACGTATATTTTCTGTGAAGTGCTGCCTTTTGAACGACGGCAACGGCTTTCATCTGAAACTTCCAAAATATTCGTATCCCCTTGTGTGCTGTTTTATTCCATGAACATCGATTTTTGTTGTTTGTGGGATTTTTTTCGATTGTTAGATTTGGTTTGCCAAAATTTCATTCAAGGTTGTGATGGTATCGAAAAATTATTTTTTCTTTTTTTTGGGGGCCTTGGTTGTACCGTTGGTTTGAATGCTTCTTATCTGGGAAAAGAATATTTGGACGATTTTTTATGAAGTTACTTATTAGAGAATTGTGTCTTGGTTTGATAATGGCTTGTCTATTTTTTTCAGATTTACTATTGTAGTGTTTGTCCCGTTTCATTTCTTTGTGTTGAGCTCCTTTTTTATCTTATCGCCAAGGATGGTAGTCTCGGTGAGTTTTGCATTTTTGATGATGGTCTGGGGGAAAATTTTTACGAAAATTCCGATGATTTTTCACGCTTGTTTCCTTTGCAGCAGTTGGACTTGATTTTACCGGTGATTCAGGCAGTTGCCCTCCACCAGCCAGACGATGTGCTCAGGCGTCACGAGTATCGCGTGGCGCGTGAAGAAGAGCGTTCTCGAGAACGGCTCGACTACCTCATCAAATCCCGGTCGTCAGATGTCGACTCTGCCGCGAGTTCGTTCAAGCTAGTTGCCGGGGAATTGCGACTGGGTCAAAGGGCGACGAGGTCGGTGTATTCCTCGCTCTGGGCTCGACTGAAGGTTCTGCATCGTATGGGAGATTTCGTGCGGTATTTACACGGCAAGTCTACTGAGAGTGGCGCCAAGCTGAGTATCATGGAGAGTGTGGAAGTGTTGTGTGCGGCGCCGCGGCGGCTCATGGTCCTGTCTGAGGAGAAGCGCTACGAGGAATTCGCAGAGGCCGCCGTGAGTTTGCTGAATACGTTTTGTATGAGTGATGTTCTAACTTCTAAGTAATGCACACCGTTGTTCGGTGAAATTATGAAGAATTCGTATGATCATTGCAGCGAGACATTACCAGCTAATCAACGTAGGTTATGAAAAAATTGAATATTGTGCCAAGCTGAAGGATATGCATGAACGAGTGAAGTCACGGTTCTATTCTTGTTTTAAAGATCGTTCGTGCCGTTGATTCCGTTTTAGCTACGGAATCATAAGGGTAAAAGTGAAGCGCATGGATTTATATTCCTGATGTTCCTTCTCATTTAAAATTAGAGGTCCTTCAATGACTTCATGATCGCATCTTAACTTAATGTCGTTGTCGTATTCTGCATGTTTTGAATTGGTGAGAAAAAGTAAAAAATCAACCAATAGTGTTCATGCGCCTGTAATGATCATTTTTCTGTGACTCTCAAGGCTTTTGAGAAACTTGTCGCATATATTTTCCCATGCTTTTTCGTTGATGGTGCAGTAGAATTCTTTGCAGCAAATTAATGCTTACAACGAATTTGTTTTCTGGTCCCTCTCCAATAGACGCAATGTAATTCTTTATCGTTTTAACGAATTCTCGTTTGAAACTAAGCTTTTTCAAGGTCCCAAACGCTTCAACGAGATTTTACTGTATTTTTCATTTTTCGGGAAGATTCGTTTTTTTAATCTTCGAATACGGTAGTTGAACGGGCACGATTGTCAAACGCCCAGGAGTCGTATGAGGGATTTTTTAAAGCTTCTTTTGTGCGTTTATTCTTCTTCCTTTTCATTAATCTGCTGTCACACGATTTCCGTGCGCCTAATTGTAGAATCTGCTTCGTGAGTGCAATTCAACCGCTAAATTGGTGTTCATGGGTAATTTTTGTATTTGCAGGTGAAGGCATCCAGTTCAGCTGACAATTCTCAGCTGGTGGAACTCTGTTCAATGTTGGTGTCAAGTTCTGCCACGAGAGGAATGGCTGCTGAAATAGCAGTGCAACGTAAAGCTGGAGAGGATCGTTTGATAAAGGTTTGCTCCTGTTGATTCATCATCAGAAGTTGAGAACTTTTTAAATGTATAGCAATAATTCTCATTATTTAGGTTAACTACTGGACAATTGTAACGTTTTAATTTCGCTACTGAATCAACACGTGCAATTAAAATGGCCCGAAAATTGTATTACAGTTGGACCTTTTTAACTCGAACCTACCTAAAATTCGAGAACCTATATAGCTCGAATTTTTCTGGTCCCTCTCCAAAGTACCTTTAAAACAATGTAACCTAAACCTCTTAACTCGAAATTTTTGAAGACAGGGAAGTACAGGAAATTAAAATTTGGAAAGGAGAGTGAGCAACGTCAGTCTGCCCATAAAATCCTGGTTTGAGGTTCTGCATCCTGTAGAGGCGTTTATGCTGCATTTTCTTTTGGTTAGCCTTTTTTATGTTGTGGAAATGAGTAAGGAAATGCTTTTGGACGTACTACACGCAGTTGCGGCTGAAATGCCAGCCGAAATTACTTCTTTTAAAATTTATCATTTTCAGACCTAGTTTCCGTACCCTCCCTAAGTTGAATATTTTTGGTTGGTCCCTTCAAATTCGTCTTGGTGTGGTCCGACTGTACGAAGAGCAATACTTTGAAATTGTAGAATCTGGAGTCGGTTTTGTGGAAGACACCGTTGGAGCGAGCGTTGAAAACGAGGAAAAAGAGGTTGAACAATTTGAGGAAATTTCAACCCGTTTTTCGCCACAATGATGCCGACAGGGATGAGTTCAGTCGAAGGGCATTCGAATACATCACAGCTGTTTACCAGTGCGTTAATTTTTATCCCCGCTTGCATGCGCTCAGAGTGGCACGTCAACCAATGGAATCTTCCCGCGTTTCCCGATTTGAACAAGGTTTGTGATTTTTTGTGAGTTTACTTTTGATGAGGTTTCAAAATCAAATTTTTATCATCCAGAATTTTTGCTACCCCCTGTGTGCAGTAATTTTTGTGTGTTAAAATAACCTGCCTTTGACCATTCAAATCAAGTAGCATGTTGAGCTTAGTAGTTAATCTGCGAAGGTTCCAGTCGTTCGGTTTTCTCAAAGCTTTTGCCTGTTCTTCTTTTTCCTATTTGAAATACTCTTATTATTTTTACCTTAGTGTTAAACACGAATTGTCCGCGGTGCTTGCAGCATGGAATGTGAGCATATCAATAGAGCATGTTCCATTGTCTAAACATTGAGGTTAAGCAGTCGATCAGAAAAATAGGTAAGATGGGATTCTCATGAAAAGCAATTGCTGATTTAAAATCTTGATGAGAAGGCGCTATAAATTGAGAACGTGGGAGGTTAAGTCGTAATCTGCAGAAGAAACGATTCAATTTTCAAGTCCCAAAAGACAGAAGTCTTGAATTTATTATGCAACTGATTCCCCATTTCCTTTTATCTTTTTTTACGTACTGTATTTGTGGTTCTTGAGGGATTTTTTGAATCGTAGAGGTATCAAATTTTTTTTACGGCGAATTTTGTTCGTGTTTTCGGAATATTGAGAGACTTGCACGGTTTTTATGAGATGCTGTTATGTTCAGGCAAGAGTAGATTTTTAGCATTACAGTATTTGATTCGTGGTGAAATCGTACCTTCATTGTAAAACTTCTCAGAAGATTTTGTGGAAATTACATTTATTCATAAGACTTCTCAATTCTCCCAGAACGACTGAACCATGGAACTCATCGTGGAATGGGAAGAAACTCAAAGAAGTATGAGCTGATGGATTGTAAAATTATCTTTTGTTTGATAATCCAGTTTTAAAGAATTGTGTTCAATCTTGGGAAAGATCAATAAATTTGTGAACTGTTGGTTGTCAACGCAGTGCTCAAGAAATGTTGTTCAATGGAATGTATTCCATTGGAAAGTTTAAGCCATGTTTATCTCATCGGCGATGATGTCTTTTGGGACCAAATACAGTAAAGCCACGAAATGCGGACATAATTGGTGTTTGGACCGTGTCCCTTTGTCGGAATTTCCGTATATCGGATCACGTTTTCCCGTAGACTTCATTGAGAATATATTCGATTATTTTTCCTCTTGATGAAAAATTCGAGAAAATTTTCCCAAAATTTCTACTGAAAAAATCTCTCATCTTTTAGGTACAGAAAATGACAGTGCAAAAGAAATCCACGCAAAATCTGATCTTTTCGCATGAAAAGGAGCCCAAAAAGCAAAAATTAAGCACTATTCCTTCTATACACTGCTCAGTTGATGGAAAGATTCCTGAAAAAGAAGCACAAAATGAACGGATTGTAAACGGATGAACGGATTTTGGATTGTAAAGCATAATGAATTTGCAATAAACTTCATTTTTAATACTTCGTTTCTGATTATGAAAAGCTCGATTTGTTGAAGAGATATCACCTTTTTGAAAATTAATTTTTTTCATTGGTTTAGAAATGTTGGTCAAGTGACTGAATCTAGACTCTTGAGACATCGTGCGGATTTTGTGCCAGATTTTAGAGTTATCAAGACTCCCCTAGTTGAATTCGCCCATGCGTCGGGGCGTCCGCATGCTGGGGCTCCCACTGTATAGCTTTTTTGTTTAATTTCAGGGAATTGTTTTAATAAGAAAATTATCCTCCCCAGTTTGCTTCAAGGTGACAGCAGCGCTTGGGACCAATTCGGACTAGAGCCCGACAACCGACCTGTTGCCCCCAGGCGCCAAAAACGATCCGGACGCCGACTACTCGATACTGCCGTGAAGGACTCTGCCTTCGACACGATACGAACCCTTGTCAGCTGCTTCGACACCCTGTCGTGTCTTCCTCGTTGCGTGGATGCCATTGGCTCGAAAATCCAGGAGAACCTCCTGATGCTTGTCAGAGAGTTGTCAGAGGCTGTGAGTTCGAATCCGGCTCCCGCAGTGTACGTGGAACTCGTCGGCCCCAGGGGACGAGTCGGGGGTGTCGAACTCAGAATTCACGCGTTGGTGGACTTTTGGAATACCCTATGCGATGCTTGCTGGCATTTTATGGACTTGGAAAAGAGTTTCGTCGCACAGGCTGCTTTCGTTTTAGGCAAATCGGAGAGCTACTTTGATTTGTACGATGCCAAGGAGATTTGGATGAAGATTCAAGGCGTGGTGAGTCGAGCGAAGGGATTGCTTATGGTTGGAGCAGAGGTGGAAACCTCACGAGAGGCGGGGAATACTATTTTTATTTATTTATTTTTTCCAGTGGGGCCCCGAGATGCGGCCGCTAGTGGTGCTTTTTAGATCTTGTCCCAATGTCGGAACGTCCGCATGTTGGGATGACATTTTCCCTTAGACCACCATGGGAGTATATTCATGTTGGTTCAATCTTTTAATTAAAAATTGAACAGATTCCTCGAAAAATTTGGATAAAATGATTCTTTTTCAAGTTAAAGATCCAGAAAATCGCAGTGTAGAAGAAAACCACTCATGCACATATGATGGAAATGACTGAAAAATGAAGTACAATTTACCCTGTTTTTGATTGGAATTTTAGAGAATTTGTAATGATCTTCATTTTTAGCATTTGTGAATATAAGAAGCTCTATTTGTTCAAGAGATTCTAAAATTTTGAAAATTATAATTTTTCGACTTGTTCAAAAAATATTTTGGTGAAGTGTCCGTACCTTGAGACATTTTCTGTATGTTGGGGCAGATATTTCAAATTTCTAGCGGTGTCCCGAATCATCCGCATTTCGGTTCCGGGTCCCACTTTTTTCGATCCAGTGGATAGTGGAGTGCTTATCGTGATTGAACCTGTAACTACTTACTGTTTTGATACCTGAGCTTACATGCCCCGGCTTATTTTGAAATTTACTTCAGTCAATATTCTTACAAATCTCTCGTGGGTAAGAAAAAAAAGTACTGTATTACTCTGCAGTAAACTAGCTTTCTTGCCTGTGTCGATCTATTCTCTAGCAAGAACACCGTTTTGGGTGATTTTCTCTTTCTTCTATCTTCTCTGTCTGAATTTTCTTCTTTCATTTCCTTGAGGGTTTTTTCGTTGAAAATCCTTTTCCCGTTGTAGATTTGTGTACATGCAAAAGGCAGCTAGTGATGCGTAAGTTAATGTAATTTGTTATTGTCAGAAGCATTTCCTGAAGCTTTTTTCTCGTTCTGCGGTTGACAAATAGTAATCGATGTTTTGTGAGAAATAATGATTGACATTTTATGCTTCCCCTTCTTGTTTTAAAAAAAGTATGTGGTATAAATTGAAATATAAATTTTGGCACGATTTCGCGCTTTACAATGCGAACTTTTCGCGTGTACACGGGAGAGACTTCTTTGCGTACAGTATTTTTTCTGCGAAGTAATGCCTTTTGAACGAAGGCAAAGACTTCCATATGAAATTTCCAAAATATTTGTATCCCCTTGTGGTGTTTTACTCTATGAACCATGTTCGTTTTGTCACTTTTGTGAGAACTGATCATTGACATTGCGAAATCTGCGCCAATTACTTCAAAAGAGAGTGGTTAGATTTGTGTGTTGTCAGAGCTTTCACAATTGAGCGGGACACGAATATCTGTTTGAAAAATGTTCGATGTAACTCTTGGATCTTGGAAAAGTAGAAGGATCCTGCGTAACGTTATTTCTGACAGATTTAATAAAAATTTGTGCTTTTCATCGTTGTTTTGCCGTAGCTCCAGCTGGTGGTGTCGGATTACCTAGATTTGAAAAGCCTCGCTGCTCGTCCGATGAGCATGTTTGGCGTGCCGAAGTCTTCCACGAAGTCGTCGGTTCTGAACGCACTTTTTGCCGTCGGCAACAAGAGGATCCAGTCGCCGGCCAACGAACCCTGTTTATTCTCGTTCAACAATACAGTGCACGGACGACTGCAGAGCGACTTGGATTCTGGGCTGTTCGGGCCAGATCCGGAGATTCTGTCTGCATTTGCCGATTACGTTATGGTTTGTCGGCCTGAGCCTCATAACATCAGGTCGGTGAAGCCTTTCGTTTGTAATCGGTGGACGTTATTTTCCTTTTCAAAGATTCGAAACGGTCGTTCTGAAGAATTCATAAGTGATTGAAGTTCCTGTATCGTAGAGCTAGAGAAGAAAGCTTTGCAGTTTTATTTTAGTTTAAAGATACTGTAATTGAAGTTGCTTCAAAATTCGGATTGAATGCGTCAAGGGTTTGAATTAACTAAAGGAAAATTTCGTTACAGCGAATAATTCGTTTTACGAATTTTCTTCTTGGTCCCTGCAGTTACTTTGTAGGGACAATGTTTTAAAAATGTCGTTATGACAAACTAATTTTTCTCTATAATCACAGTACAGTATTACAAATGTTTGCCTTGATTATGTGCACATATGCCGTATAAATTTTTACTAATTGACCCAATATGGGAATAACCCAACTTGTGCAAAATTCAGAAAAAAATTTTAGATATGAAATGCTTATCTTTCTGTACAAAAAATGCAACAGTGCAGGAAGAAAGCTCAAATCAGTTTATTTAGATTTGTTTAGCAGTTCAGAAATGACCAAGTTCTGAAAAAAAGTATGTTTGGAAGGATGCTGCTGTTTTGTTTTTCAGGGAACATACAGTTATTGATTAATAAGTGCTCCTCCCACACATTTATTTTCTGATGCTTTCAGCTTGTACATCAGGAACATTTTTATATTTTATAGAACATTGAAGAAAGGGAAGGTCTAAATTAAGAGAATGTAATTTCACATTTTGAATTTTCTGTCATTTCATCAAAAGACGGTTGTGCTTTTCTTCATATATCTTTTGTGGAAGTACTGTGAAGCATCGATTTCCCGTTTTCCAAAAAATTTCAGTCGTACAAGCTCAAAGAATCATGAATATGGTTACAACGGATTTTTCTCTGATCCCTGGGAATTTGTTGTAACGAGATTTCACTGTATTTCATGCCGAACAGTTGGAAGAAGTATTCCTTATTGTTATCCGCAGTCCTAACAACTCTTGTATTCTACAATAGCCATATTGACAGCCAATGACATGTACCCAAACTGAAACATCTTGTCTTTGTATTGGACGTGTGAGAAAAATTCAACCTATGGATTGCCTAATTCTCACTGAACGTCAATTTTTTCGTCATCTTGTATAATGAGTTAAAATGCGGTGAATTGCTTTTCCTTAACTTTTGTTTTCATTTTCTAGATTCCTACTGCATCCAATCATGACGTTTGTCGTGGAAATACAAGGTAAATTTGGATTTCAAGCTACGGGAACGTTTGGCATTTCGTTGGTTGGATTTTTCCGGAGCTACTTGGAAGACGTCTACTACCCATATTTGTACAAAACGATTTGAATCTCTAGTCTGCAAATGGTGCTGAAATTCATGGAAGGAGGGAAAACTCTGGAGCTTTTTCGAATTGATCGAACTAACACGGAGGTGCTAACAATTCGCGTTTGGGTCAATGCGTTATTTTGTTCTTAGCCAAAGTGAATACAATACTTCCAAGTGATCAATTAAATTGTGCAACTAGTCTCTGAGCAAAAAGCCAGTAAGTATGTATTTGAGTGCCAAAATAAGTGTCAAGTACCAAAAAACGAAATGTTCTGGTGATTTTAAAGGAAACAAAGACAATAAAGAACTTCGGTTGATTTTCCGCGTAGTTGCTCTAATAATATCCTCGTGTTATTGAAGTGGTTGCATTTTTCATCCTGAATATTTTTTTCGCAGAATCAGTGTTCATATAAACTGTAAAATATTAGGCTCAGACTCGATCTGGATCAAAAATGGCCCTAGGGGAAATGTCGGGGGCTGACGTGGAAGCCGAATACGTCGTGGAACGGATTGTTGGCAGTAAATTGATCAATGGCGTCGTTTACTATCATTTGAAATGGAAAGGTTTTCCGAAGTAAGTAACTGCCTTAATTTCGCAATCAATTTGGAGACGAGACCCAACAGGGAGACGATTGCTTAATGTTGAAAATGTATTTCATTTGTCCAGCTCTGAGAATACGTGGGAACCCGTTACAAATCTGGAATGCGAGGAATTGATTGCCGACTTCGAACAGCAGCAGCTGCAGAGTTCGCCGGGGCCTGCGGAAGGGGAAACCTCTTTTCCTGATAAAAGACACAAGAGAAAACGTCGGGCTGCTGCCAAAACGTGCCTCGATTTCCTGCACAAGCCTGCTTTAGTTGTGGACGTGAGTATAAACAAATAATTCACGAAAGATTCATTGAGGAAATCAGTGGAAACCGCGGGGGTTTGTCGTCGTTCGTATCAACAAATGATATTGATAGCAATTTATGAAGCAAGTGAATCGTTAAATTTTACGAAATGCTTGAGAATGTTCTCGGATTGTAAATTAGAACGACATGAGTTGAAAAAGAATTTATGTTGAAAGAAACATTCTTTTTGGGGGAAAAAAAAAATTTAAATCAGCCCTGTTCGACATTTTATACGAGTCACCTTTGCAGCTTTCCACTCTTCGCTAAAAAGATGAGGCGCCTATCTTGCACATTTTTGGTGTAGCCCAGCGTCTCCTTCAGAATTACTGAAATCGACGTGGCATTAAATCCAATGGTTGCCTCCAGATTTTCCGAGATACCGTATTCACGCCGTTTTCGTCAACAACCGCCACATTGTCATTCTAAGTGGCGGCAGTGAAGGTAGCTGATGACGAAAACGGCAGAATTAATTATCAATTAATGGTGGCAACCCTTGGAATTAATGCCTTGTCAATTTCAAGAATTCTCGAGGGAAATTGTGGGTACACCAAAAAATTTGCGAGATGGGCGCCTCCTCTTTTCAGTGAAGAGCAGAAAGCTGGAAGGGTGACTTTTGCAAAACATTTCTGAAAAATGTGTTAAACAGGGCTGAATTTTTCTTTCTTGTGCCAAAAAATGTTTTTTCTGAACAATAATCGTTCAAAACAGCTCAATCTTTTGGCGTTTCGATTTATACTCGGGGAACATTTGTGAGGCCCTTAGTGTGTGTTGGCAGTTCCAATGACGAAGTTCATTTTTGTGCCAGCTGCATCGTTTTCGTGTTTTCTGCGAATTTTTTTCATTCTACGTTCATGAAACTGCACTGTCCTTTGTTAGCTGTTCTTGATGATGGCAACATTTGAACCGCTTCGGAAAATTTATTATTTTTTTGTCAAATTCATGCGGGAATCCGAATGGGTGTATTTCCAAAGAGCGGGAGCAAATGTGAAGACAGCCGGTTAAGCTTGTTCTTGCGAGTTTAGCTTAGGTTATTCACATACGCTCCTTCGTGCACTTGCTTTTTTTCATTTTTTGCACCTGCTCTTCTGTGGTGTAACCTATTGAAAATAAAAATGTGTCGAGATTTTTTGTTTGTCTGTTGCTATGCTGAAAAAGTGGTGCTTCCTGATTTTTTTTAAGGCGGATTTCACCGCGGAAGCGATCGTGGATCACAAGATGGTGGATGGTGTTTTGTTCTTCCTCGTCAAGTGGGAAGACTACGGACCGTGAGTTGATTTTATGAACCAGTTGGGAGTGAAGGATGTGTTTAGCAACGAGCTGCTGTCACATGCAGTGATGAAAACACGTGGGAACCTGCGGATAACCTGGACTGCAAAGCAATCATGGCTGCTTACTGCGAGCAATTTCCAGAGGTTCTGGAAGACCTGAAACGACACGAAAAAGATTCGAACGTTGCGGATTTGCGAGGAAAAGCTGTCAAGAAGGAGAATATTGAGAAAAGTGTTCCCGTCTCCATGGCTGAAAATAATCTCGAAAAAACGCCGAAGAGCATTCCGGTCGTTCATTTGGAGGTACTGCATTATTTTAAAATTTCGCTGTAATTCATGGATTCTTCGTATTTAATGGGTTGAAATGTTGTTTGATTTTTCTTCTACCTAAAAGCCGTAGAAAGCCACATCATGTAAACTTTATTTAATTGTGTTATGCGGAGAGTGCCGTTGATGCAGTTGTGCCTTTTTTTCTCATGGTCGTACTGTACTTGTCTGAGAATCGCTGATATTTAGTAAAATATCGTTTTAACGAAATTCCGAGGAACCTGATGAAAAGTTTGTTACGAGATTCACGTTCTTTTAGTGCGAAGAAGTTTGAAAAGAAATTATGTGGAAAACAGATGATAGGCCCTTTAAAGTACTGTTGTTCCGTAACTGATGGGTGAAGCATTGCCCGAGTTTCAAATATTTTTCGATTAAATGATTGAGAAAATTTGAAATTTGAAATAACTTCGTCTCATTTCAGACCTTCCCTTTCTTGAATTTTGTAAAATTATGCTGATCTTTCTGAAGTATAAGCTGAAACAATCAGAAAATGCACGTTTGAGAGGAGAATTTATTCTTAAAGAACTGAATGTTTCCTGAAATAGAGAAGCGTCCTTCCAAGCATACTAAGCCATTTCTAAATGCTAAAAGAAAGCTAAATCAATTTTGATATGAACTTCGTACTACCTGCAGTGATAAAGTTTCTGTACAAAAGTATTAGTACAATATTTATATTTCTTGAAGGTTTTTCAATCATGAACGTGTCGGGTTTTCCCATATTGTGCCAATTAGGGAATATTTGTGGCTCATGCACACACATAATCAAGGCAAAATGTGTTCTATTGAGACTTCAGAGGAAACTTTAGCTTGTTCAAATTTTTTAACAAAATGTTTATTGCATTGTCCCTATGAAGAAACTGCCGGGGCCAAGAAAAAAATTCGTTGTAAAGAAAATTATGCAATAAAGGGATTCATAGTGACAAAATTTCATTGTATATTTACTGTATATTCTTTCTGTATTCTCAAATTGAAGGAATCTCCTGTGGAATCTGAGATATCTGACCAGAGCCCAAGAAGGTCAAAGGCGAAAATGAAAAGAAATTTGAAGATACAAGAGGTTTGCGGAGTATTACGTACAGACGGAAAAATCTCGTATACTATTAAATGGCAAGTCTGGTGTTTCGTAAGAAACCGTCTTTTTCGGATTTCGTGAAGATTAATTTTGCTTCTATTTTATTTTAGGGAGGGGGAAAAAGAAGTCGACGTCTTGTCTAGTGCTGAGTGTCGCCAACAGTTTCCTGCTGTGATCGCAGAATTCCTGGAGAGATCGATCAAGTGGAGTGATTGAAGTTCTTGTCATTTTTTTCTATTGTACTGCCTATTTTTATGTGTAAACATTTGTATTTGAAATGACGTGGTTGCAGTCGATTGTCTTTGGCATTAGCGATTCGCGCAAATATTGATCAATGACGCATGGTTTTCTTCCAAATAGGTTTTGAAAGTGCATGTTGTATTATCGATTCTATGTCATGGATCCGGAAGTAGATCGAGATGCCGATGATGAACAAGATGTGGAAGAATCTGTCGTGTCGCCTGTAGCAGAAAATGGAGTAAGTGGAGACGCTCAAAAGGACTCTCCGGACAGTCCGCCTCCGGATGAAAATTCCGAGGAAAGCCCAGTTGAAGCCGAGACCCCGGCTGCAACGGAAAATAAAGAAGAAGAGAAGAACGAAGATTACGTCGTGGAGAAAGTTGTGGGAAGGAAAGAACTCAACGGCGTCGTGCATTACTTTTTGAAGTGGAAGGGTTATCCCAAGTGAGTATACTTCGAATTTTTGCCTCAAATAACTTTGAATGGTTCGCATATACAGTCAAACTTCGATTGAATGCCGCCTTTTGTCCTGGCAAATTTTTTTTTTGCTCCAAGGAAGATTATTGAAAGAGAAGAAAAGTTTAGTTGAGGTGGGCAAAATAAGCCTGTTTATGGAACTGCTGGACCACTGAGGCTATTTTATTGAACAGAGCGCGTCAAAAAATAATGTGAAGCTCAAATGTAACGTTTTTATATTTTACTTCAAAATATTTAGGGTGCAATATATTAGATTTTTACACATATTGTGTCCAGTGAAAGAGCAGGGCTGTTTCTCGGAATGTAGTGTGGATTTGAGTTTTATACAAGGTGCCATCATGAAGGAATCCCCACTGTTTCCAGGAAAGCTTCCGCTTTTGAAATTTTCAAATTCAATTGAAGGAAAATTTCATGCAACAAAAAAATTTTTTTTTAAAGAAAGTAAATTCAAAAATAGTGTTCAAAATTATTCTGAACTTTCATGTGAGCATGGGAATGCTTTTTTCACGCATAAATCATATCATTATTAAAAGCCTTCATTCTTTTAATTACGACCCATTTTTTGCGACGTCAAGTGATTTGGCGTCAAGTCGGGGGTTTTCCCTGTGAGCATAATTGAGGGATATTTGTACCAGGGACATTTGTTACACTAAATCAAGGGTTGACTGAATGTGGACTTATGATGGACTGTCACTTGCTTCACAACAGTCCTCTTGTGGCATTTTTAGACTTGAATTCTTGACTGCCCTATTCCAGAAGTGTTGACTTGAAAAGCTCAAATTTTACTTCTTATGCTATAATTTAAGTTTGGCCAGTGAATGAATACCGGATGCCTTCAGTTGATCGTTTCTCCTTGAGGTCGTCTTTCAGAATCCCAGACAAATTCGTTGCGACTGAAGCGTGAAATTTTTATTTTTTTCAGTTCCAAGAACACATGGGAGCCTGTGACCAACCTGGATTGCAAAGACCTGATAGAGGAATTCGAAGAGAAGCGTTCGCGGGATGATTCCCGTGTCCGTCGGCGACCAGCTGAGGCCAAAACGACGGCTAAGGTGGACTTTTCTCGGCTTCTAACGTCCGAGCGACCATCCAGGGGGAAGAGGTCCAACCCAGAACCCGTGAAGACGTCTCCCCGTGCCACAAAGGCCCCGAGGAAGGAGAAGAAGAAAGAAGAACCCGAAGAGGAAGAGGAAGAAGAAGCTGTGAACGTAAGTCACGTCAGGTTACGGGACAACTCACACCAAAGGCGACGACTCGAATGATTTTTAATTTTATTTTTACCGATTTATGATCGTTTTTATTACCGTATATTGCGGCGCAGGAAAATGTCTATGCTTTTGTCGCCTGGATTATCTTTTGTTCAACATAAATTGTTTTCATTTTTCAAATTTATGAAACAACATTGGCATTGCATTCTTCTGCTCAACGGATGATGCTGCGTCACTGCATTAAAAAGTTAATCCTATCGTCTAGTTTATTTCCTACTTGTAATACAGTCTCAAAGTTGCTGAAAAAGAAAAATTTGAGGTTTCTGTGAGTGTATGCATTCTGAAAAATATGCAATCTTTTATTATTGGTGAAAAAATGAAGAAATCAATTCCCCTCCTTTCAGTACTCTTCAGTATTCTGGAATAGGACTTAAATTTATTCCTAGGCCATAAATCGACAACTAAGTTTACCGTGAAGCTGTATGAAAAAATTTGTGTGAAAATTTTCCCCATTACTCTTTGAAAGGGAAACAGCCGTTTAAATGTGTGCTTTCACAACTAAGAAATATGTCATGCATTTCATGTATTCATACATTGATACAAACACAGAAATCTCAGATTTTAATTTTTCAAGAACTTCGATACTGTATAAAAAATTAGAAATCATATAAGATGCGAGTAACTTCTTGATGTGGGGACAAATTGCCAAGCAGTATCATCTGTTCAGCAGAAGAATGCATTTCAAATTTCATTCCATGGATAAAATAAAAAAAGAATGCAAAAATACTATCTAATTCATGATGGGCGAGAGGGAATCTAGGCGTCAAAATTATTTACATTTTCCTGTGCCGCAATTCTAAAAAAAAAATTAGGGGGAAACGGTTTTGAAAAATATTCAAGTTATCGGGGAATCGTCATGTTGCGTTACATTTTGAATCATTTTGAGTTAAAAACTTAAAATTGTGCTGTGTGTTTGATTTTGTAGGATTACGAGGTGGAGAAGATCCTCAAACACAAGATTGAGCGCGGCAAACTCTCTTTCTACATCAAGTGGAAAAACTACGGAGCGTGAGTGCACTTCATTGAGTTGGCTTGAATCGAGACTCATGCTGATGGTGGTGATGATTGTTGTTGCAGGGAAGACAATACTTGGGAGCCCATGGGGAACCTGGATTGCAAGAAAATCATAAATGAATACGCAAGGAAATTCCCGGACGTTCAAACATTGTTGAGAGGAGGCAAACTGGAGCCTCCTCGAGCAGCTCCCAAGGTTGACAGGAAGTCCGACCCGATACCAAAGCCGTTAAAAGAGAGGTCGGCTCGAGCTTCTCGAAAGTCTCTCTCCAACGGAGATTCGCAGTGGGAAGCATCCGTCGAAGATTTTCATACCTTTTCTTCTGCTCCAACCGTCAAGAAATCAGGGCGGGGTTCGACGACAAGCAGGGGAATTCGGCGTCCCGCAAAATTTGATTCCGTGAGATTTTGCATAGTTTTTGTCTGCAATAATGTGTGTTTTTTTTCCCTTTCAGATCAGTAACCGTTTTTCTAATTATTTTAAGAAGGACTTATTACGTGTTCCGAGTTTCACTTCACAGTATCAGAAATAGGTGTTGAGAATGGGTGTTGGCTGAATTTTCAAACCCTTCCTGATGAAATACCGTTTTTTATCCGTGGAATGTCTACTGTGTTTTCTGTGATGCATTAGAACAATCATGTATGACCATGATACATTTTTGATGGCCAAGGGCCACATTGCAGAGGTGGAGACTCCTTGTTGCCCACAAAAAATAATTTTTGTGGGTGCAAATGTTACCCTTTGCAGTGAAAGTTCCGAATTGAATTAGGTGCTATGCATCAAATAGCAGGCATGGCCTTGAAGGGTGGAGCAGCATTTAGAATTTCCAATTCAGTATTTCGGTATTTTCATGCACAATGATCAATACTGGAACATTGAATTTTTCCTAAGAATAAATATAAACCTATCCCAGCTTGAAAATTATATATACTGTACAAGTAATTCATTCGCATGAGCTTCAGTGAAGAACTCAGATAATGAAGGAAAGCATCAATAATGAAGTTTCTGTTCCTCCCCCCTTTATGGAAGCAGACAGGTTCACAAGTCACAACCCACCATTTTTTTAAAACCACCTGAGCTCTTGGCTCATGTAATGAAATGAAAACTAATGCGGCCATTTTTTTTCAGGAGAATGAGGAAGAAAGTTGGGGCTTCGACAGAGGCCTGCAAGCGCTGGAAGTTGTGGCCGCGACTGAGACCAGAGGCAACATAAAATACTTTGTTCGCTGGTAAGTTTTAGACCGGAATATATTTTCCTGAGTGTATTTCATTTTAGCGAAGTACTATTATCGGCTTTCTTGTTGCTTTATTTCACAGGAAAGGAAGTGAGGATGTGGATATCATCCCGAACAGCGTCTGCCGCGAGAAGATTCCTGAATTGGTGATGGACTTCCTGGAAAAACAGATCAATTGGAATTCCGTTTGAGCACGATTTCGTTTTCCAATCTCATTTTGTAAAGTTTTGTTTGATTCGTTCAAGTACGGTATCTGAAAATAGCGCTTTGTGTTTGCGTCTCATTCCTTCGCGTGTCATCCTTAATTTTTTATGTCAAGTTTTCGCATCAGATTTCGTGTAACGCATCTCTGTCAGTTTTTTGATAGTTTCATTGAACATGAGCGAAGTGGAGACTGGTGAAGCGGTGTTAGATGGCGCTGTTCACGAAGAAGCACCTGTTGAAGAAGACTACGTGGTCGAGCGTATTTTGAATCGGCGAATGAAGAATGGGAAAGTGGAATATCTACTCAAATGGAAGGGATACGGAGAGTGAGTTTTATCTTTTTCGTTTTGATTTAGTGCGTTTGTGTGTTTTTTTATAGCGTTCGTTAATTTCCGACAGTGATGATAACACGTGGGAGCCAGAAACAAACTTGGACTGTCCAGAATTGATTCATATCTACGAAAGACGACGGGCGCAAGCATTGGAGAAACAGAGGAGGCAACCTCCAGAAGTTCTCAAGAAACGGAAAGAAGCTGCGAGGAGACGACGTTTGAACAACATTGCCTTGGACCGACCAAAAAAGGATGTTGAGGTTTGCAGAAATTTCATCATTTTTTACACCTCTCTGCAACCCTCGTTCTGATTGATGGCTTGGAACAGGTGCGAGAGGTTCCATGAAATTCTTGCGGGTTTGTATTTTGCAGAAACCTTTTCATGATGGGCTGATGAAATCTTCTGAAGGTCGATTTTTGCTGTGGAATTCTTATGTACTTCTTGTTACAATAATTAAATACAATCGGGATCAATATTATGCTAAGCATTGGGTTGCACTGTAAAAATTAGTCTGGTGTCCCATTTTTTGGATTACTTTTGAAGACTATTGTTGTGGAGAGAATGGTCTGGGCAGGAAAAACCCAGCAACGGTTCTTTTTTTCCTCCTCTCTGAAGTCTTTACTTTCAATGTGGGAGGATCACTTTTTCATTAGACCTGCTTTATCTTCTACGTACAGTATTGCTGTGTTTGAGTTTTTGCGCAAATTCATTTTATTCATTGGTTTTGTTGTCGAGTGTTCCTTCTCTGAATCATTTCTTTGATGTTTAATCATTTAATTAATCATTTGCAAAAACTAGGAACGTATATTCACAGTGACCCCTTGAATACATGTTCTGGGCATAATTGATGCTTGGACCTTGTCTTGGTGTTTTGTTGTGATTCAAAATGCGTTGATCAGGTTTTCTCATAGACTCCAATGGGAAGAAATTTAATTGGTTCTCCTGTTTATCAAAAATAAGGAATCCCCTAAAAATTGTTCTCTTAACTCCAAGATATAGACAAAACAAATGCCAAAGAAAACTGCACAGAATTTGATCTTCAGGCATCAGAAAGAGTTCAAGAAGCAAAAAACAAGTTGAGCTACTGCATGTTGTACTGTGCACACATCATGGAAGAAAAGAAGCAGAAAATCGGAATTACAGCAATTTTATAGAGAAATTTATTTTTCATTTTTGAACACCAGTACAGTGTCCGTGTGGCTGCCTTTGGTCTGACTTCACTGTCAATTTTTGGGCGATTATTAAGAAACATTTTACCATTGATTCACAGGAGGACAGTCGGCCGAGAGGCTTTGACCGTGGACTCAGCCCAGAAAGAATTGTTGGGGCCACTGATGTCCTTGGGGAACTCATGTTCCTCATGAAGTGGTGAGTTTTTTAATTTATAATGACGTGCTGGAAGCTTATCTCTCTTCTTTCGACAACAGGAAGGAGTTTGATGAAATGGACCTCGTCCCAGCAAAAATGTGCAATGCCAGGGCACCTCAAATCGTGATCAACTTCTACGAGGAACGTCAGCAGTGGCAAACCCTGCCGAGTTTACCTTGAACTTTCAAGTGTTCGACAATTCTGTGTGTTGTGGTATTCATTTTTTTTTTTACATGAAACGATTATAAAAGGTACTTTCTCGTTAAAGTTGTCCATATAATATTTTTATCGTTCTATTTGGGCAACAACGGCTACCTGACTGATCTAAATGCCTTATAGTGGTTCACCACTGTTTCGAAATTTTCAGGGTTCCATCTTGGTTTCCTGTTGTCTGCGAAATTTCTTTTGTGAAGTTACAAAATGAATGAGTAAGATGTATGTGAAGGTATTTGAGGCATTTCGTGAGTGGTCTATAGCAAAATTTCTTGGAATAAAAATTGAAATGACATCCAAGTGAGGTAAAAATCAGGTATTGTTCAGAAGAAATAAACATTCTTTTGCACACCAAGAAAATTTAGCCGTGTTCGACGTATACAGTATTGCAAAGTCATCATGGCAACTTCCTGCTTTTCACTCAAGAGATGATATAACCATCTTGCAGATATTTTGGTGTAGTAAAAATTATTCTTGTGCTATTATGGAGTACTACGCACATTCAAGTGCACAGACCAGGGTTTGACTGTCAAAAATGTTTATAATATTGTATCCAAAACTAAGACACGCACCTTATTCTTAGTGACTCAGAACACAGTATTTTAAATATGAGAGCACTCAAATTCAAATTTAGACAGGAATTGATCCTGGGCTCCAGTGAACAGAAGAGCAATGAGGATGTAATTGGATGTTTTTCAAAATTAAATGAAAGACTAATTTTGCAAAAGCCTCCACTCAACATCCGCTCAACTCATTTACCCGGCAGTTTAGGATCACGAATTATATCTTCCTGTAATTTTTCATAATCTCTCTCAGCAAGAATTTCAAGTCAATTTTTTTGTGGGTCCCTTATTGGAATTAGACATTGAGAGGTGTCTCTGTATAACCGAAGGATAGAACTAACTGATCCTAACATATGTTCCCTTCTCTACATTGGACGAGTGGGGATCAAGCTTTTAAAAAGTTATTGTCTTGAAGAAAAGTGTAGTAAATTTCAGTCTATGTCCCATATTGAAATGAATCCACGTCGCGTATATGAGAGGAAGTCGTTTTACTTCGGCTGTCATTTGACACAAATAAAGGATAGCGTAAATTGAACGAATTCGTGCTTGTGCGCATCGAAAAATAAGAGAAGCGAAGTCTTCCGATAATTAATCCTTGAGGAGATCAAAAATTGTTTGTCGGAAAAAAAGGCAGCGAGAAACCTAGGATCACAACAACCCCGGGAAACGGACTCCCGGGAAATCTACAAGTGTTAGTCTTGGCTTTAAAAAAAAAAAAAAAAACATGCAACAGTTACGCAAAATCTTCACTGAAACCATCACAGAGATAATTTTAACCGCTGAATCGCAACGAGACCGACGAATTTAAGAAGCCTTGTCGAAAAGAAACAAAAAGTCTCGCTGCACTTAGCTTCCGAACACTAAACATAATAATTACAACTTCGTTCGCAGGTTCCATCCTCTCAGCAAGTATACCAACTCGCACACCGTGTGCAAGTAATGCCAAAATACGCGCAAAAAAAAAAAAGTGGTGACTCTCAAACCGCAGAAGACGTCAGTCCACCTCCTTTCGTTGTCTGATGGTTGCCATTCGTCTCCCCGGACTTCTCACTGCAAAAACAAGATTGAAAGTGTTCATGTATATTAGATCAGTCCGGTGAATCATACATACACCCAGCTGAAACAGTAAAATCTCGTTAGAAGAAATTTTCAAGGGAGCTGAGAAAAATTTCTTCATGAGATTCATTGTTCTTTTAGCACCAGAGCAGAATTTTGTGGGAAACAGACAATGAATGCGTTAACGGTTGAAGTACTGCACTTCACAGTGGATATGTGAAGAATTTCCCAAATATTCAACTTCTTTTGATGAAATAACGGAGAAATTGAAAATGTGAAATATAGTTGGCTTATTTCAGACCTTTGCTCCCTTAAATTTTCTACAAATATCCTTATCTTTCTGAAGCATGAGCTGAAACAAATAGAAAATATATGTGTGAGGAGAGCATTACAGTACAGTATCTGATTCATCATCCAATGCTGTATGTTTTCTTAAACATGACATACCCAACAAATAATTTGGGAGTATAATGCTGGGTAGCTGCCAATAGCTAGGTGCACATGTAGGTAATATCAAGTTTGGAGGCAATAAGTCCCTAAGGAAAATCCAATTCCCAAAGGCAAGGAGTTAGGACTCAAGTAAGATAAGCAGTACAGTCAGTCAATACTCAACTCAGGAAATCATGGAGATGTGCCCATCTGTATTTCAAGTAGTGTTTTAGCTAGTTAATTTTAGCTGGTGTGTGTGGGAGCTATCACCAAGTGGCTGATGGTAGCTAGCAACTTGGGAGCTGCTTTTAGTGGGGTCAATTGTGTGCTGAGTGGGAGCTATTGCCAAGTGACTGGCAGCTAGCAACAATAAGGGAGCTGATGGTGGCAGGGCAATTGCATGCAGTGCATGAGCTGTGCGGGAGTTATTGCCAATGGGATGCTAGCTAGCAACTTGGGAGCTGTTGTTAGCTGGGGAAATTCTTGCTTGCTCTGGTGCTACAAGTTTATTGGGAGCTGCACCAAAGGATGCAATCTATTGGCTTCCATCAATGTACCAGTAGATATTTCTTGTACACTGGCTTTTTCAATACTTTTATATAAACTCAATTTTGCCAAGGCATAATAAATGTGAAAGGCATATCCAAATTTCCCCATTGATGAAGTGAAGTATTTAAAAAAAAGGATGTTGAGCTTTTTCTTTTTTTGTAGCATAACAGAGCATTGTGAAGTGCACACAGTAAACTGCATGTTTTCAGCCCTGATGTACAGTATTAGGCTATAACATAGGAGTGCCATGATAATTCACAAGCTCAATATTTACAGCAAATATCTGAAAATTTCAGGCATTATAATGAACAAAAATACAACAATATTCATGCCATCTTTCAAGCCAATGTGGGTATTTGTAATTGAGAAACATTTGTTTTAGTCTTGACTCTTGCGTCACTTGATGGAAGATTTCTTTGACACAAGACTAAAACAAATTCTGAATTTCATAAGAAAATATGAAATTCAGACATTGAGTAACTAATGTAAAAAGACTAAATTTTGGAGCCCATTTGGTTATTATTCTATTGACACAGGAAAAATGTTGCTAAAATGTAATTTTTTGAAATCAAGTAGAATATTAATTGGGAAAATTAACCCTTGCCTCCAAGTTCTGCATCCTGACATTTGAGAAGGAATTTTAGGCCTAGAATATCACCAATTGTAATTTCCTGGAGTTCTCCATTCTTTTTCTCAGGAAAAATACTTTAGAAACAACCATCTTTGCTGTTACCAACCTTTAAAACCAATAACACATAAGACCAACATATATTTGAGAAAAACAGCTACTGTATTTAATTATTATGCATTGTAGTTCTTTTGTATAGATGTCACTTTTTCATGAGCTTCCAAAATGTCACTTTTCATGCAGTGCACTTTTCATATTTTCAAATCAGTAAAAATTGTGTGCGTATTTTGGTACGTTTGGAAAATTACTACTGCTATACTTTATTGATGTTTTGAATGAAATTGGATCTTGCACTCTTTCTGATTAAATTTCTAAAAAATTTTCAATTAAAATGCATGAATAACATGCTCTAATATACCGATTTATCAGAAAACAAGTCATGCATTCACATTTATTACTATAGCATTGTGCCTTTGCTGTAGTGGTGTCACATTCAAGGAATTATTTTTCAGATACAAATAACTCTTTTCTGGCCATACAGTATTTGGAAGTTATTAGCGCAAGTCAGCAGTAAGTGATGGAATACCTTTGAATATGTTTACCATTTTTGGTCACTACTAAATACTAGGATACTCATAATAAAACATTAAAAATGCCATTCATGTATGTTACATTCATACACTGCTCTTCAAGATGTAATTCCTATCTGCAAACATGCGCAATTCATGAAGTCACTCATTCATGGCATTGAAGGACCTGTGAGTGGACTTCTTGGGTGACCAGACGTTACCATACACTTTCAAACTCAAGCAACTCACTTCCAAGCTGCCCCCCTAAAAGGGCTGTGCCTTCCACTCCCTCCCTCAGTGCCATGAATGAGTGACTTCATGAACTGCATAAGCTTGCAGTTAGAAATTACATGTTGAAGAATGGTGTAGGAAGATAGCATACTATTCAATATATGAACTTGCAGCATTCTTAATGTTTTATTCTTGTTATTTTATGAGAAGTGTTTATATAGTGGTTTCCAAAAACAAGTAAACACATTCAAAGGTATTCCATCACTACTGCTGATTTGTGCAAATGACTTCCAAACATGACCAGAAAATACTGTAATTATTTTTATATGATTTGGGAGGTGGTTGGGTAAAGTTAGGTTAGGTCAGGTTATGTTATGTTAG